CCTAGATTTCGTGGGTTGAAATTGCCTGGAAGGGCAGCTTGGGTGCAATGGGCCAGGGAGAATGGCAAGCTTTGAGTCCACTGTTCATGGCAAGTTTGTGCCTCATAGCAGTCACAAAGATTTGTTGCTGAGCAAGGCTTGCTGTTGCCCGTTGCTTGTTGCTGGGGAAGAAGAAGCTGCTCAGCTGGCTTCTTGCTTTGCTGCCAATGGGGGCGTCCAGGTGTGGAAAAAGCACATTGCCAGACCATGCTTGCACACATGCACCTTCCCTGTGTAATTTGCTGTGGAGAGCATAGGCATTGCACTGATTGCCAAGCCAAACTTGTAGCTGTAGGTAGCATGGCTACACACAGCTAGATTTCATGGCTGCTACAGGCAGCCTTTGTGGCTGGCAGCCTTCCTTGGCTGGCCATATAGCCTTGTGGCTGGAAGCCTACATCCTTGTGGCAGAAAGCAGTAGGGCCTGGATTAAATGCCTTCCCTTAATCCTTGCAAAGCAGGTAATGCTGTAAGTAGCCTTCATGGCTGTAAGTAGGCTTGTGGCTGTGAGAAGCCTTCATGGCTGTAAGTTGCCTTCATGAGAGTAAACAAAGCCTTTGTGGCTGTGTAGCTGTTTATGCCACTATAGGGTTTTCATGCAAGCAAATAGCCTTTCTGTTGGATGAATGGCACTGGCTGCTGCAAGTAGCATGCATTGCACCGAGTTGCCAGAGCATGTTGGCTTAGAAGGACAGTATGGCTGTATTTGGTTTATAGAGCAAGCTGCATCCTAGCACATGCCCTTGGCAACCTTTTTAATTTCTCCACAGTTGTAGGCCCCAAGCTATCCATGCTGCACACACCCCTTTCAGGGCCCTTATAAAGCAGTGTAAATCCCATGGTAAGAAAGCACTGAAGTTTGTGCCTTGCTTTGTAGGGGGCCATGTCAGACAGAGCCCAAAAGCTGCAAAAGCTGCACCACCTGAGGGACTCAGTCCCTTTTGTGTCCAAGTCTGCTCTGTCATCCATTTTGGACCATGTCAAGGAGCAAGGGGCTCCAGACATGTCAAGTGCCAAGCATATGAGAGAGGCCACAAGGAACTTGCTTGGGCAAGCAAACGCCTATGGACCTTTGATACTGCAAGATGAATTTGCTTGCCTGCAAGGCAACCCTGTAAAGATCAGCTACCTGAACTTCTTGTCCTTCTTGCACTTCTGCTACAAGAGTGGTGGCTCTTTGCATCAGCAGCTCTGCAATATTACAGAGCCTTTGGGCTTGCTTGTGTACACTGATGAGATTGTGCCTGGCAACCCATTAGCAAACCACCCAAGCAGGAAATGCTGGTGTGTTTACATTTCCATCAAACAGCTTAACCACCACTTGCAATCTGAAGATGCTTGGGTCACTGTCTGCTGTGTAAGGTCTTCAGTTGTACAGCAACTTGCAGGCCACATGAGCCAGCTCATCAAGCAACTACTCTTATCAATCTTCAGAAGCCCATGGGCTGAAGTGGAGAGCCATGGCATCTTGCTCCAAGAGCCCCCAAGCTCTGCCAAGCAGCACAGCAGATTCAGGTGCTGTTTGTCCTTCTTCATCCAAGATGGTGCTGCTCACAAGTATGTTTGGTCAGTGAAAGGAGACAGTGGTTCTCGCTTTTGCTGCTTGTGCAAAAATGTATTCAGCACATCTGACCAAGAGGAAGGAATCAGTGAGGTTTCAAAGTTTGTCTCAGCTTCCAGACTGGACCTAGCAACAAGCCAAGAAATCTTTAGCTCTTGGGATAGGATGGCTGCAAGGCAAGCTTGCAGTAACCAGCAGCAGTGGAAGTTGTGGCAGCAAGCAGCAGGCATATCTTTCAGCCCTGAAGCCATGCTGGCTTGTCTTCAGCTCAGGTCGGTTGTGGACCCTGTGAAGCAGTTTGTTCATGACTGGATGCACTGTTTGTGTTCCAATGGCATAATTTCACTGGGTATCTTCTTCATCCTTGAAGAGATGGACTGCTGGAAGGAATTTGGCAACTATTCTTCTTGCTGGGCACTCCCTGCCAGCTTTGGCAACATCAAGGTGGCACCTTTGTTTGAAGCCAAGAGGGTGGAAAAGCACAAGAGGTCCATGAAGTTCAATTCCACTGCGTCCGAGCTGCTTACTGTCCTCCCCATACTGGTGCATTTTTGCCAAAATGTGTGCAAGGAGGCATGCATAAAGCAAGTTGAGTGCCTAGCTTCCTTGCTATACTTGGTGGAGCTGCTGCAATCCACCTGGTGCACTTCAATTTCCTGGCAGCAAATACAGCATGCAGCTGAAGAAGTTCTCAGACTATGGATTCAAGCTGGCTGGAGAGACAATATGATGAAAAAGCACCATTGGCTGCTGCACCTAAGCTCTGCCTTCAAGCAGCATGGTATGATTGTCAACTGCTTCTGCATGGAAAGAAAGAACAAAACATTGTCCAGATTCAGCAATCCTGTGCAGAATACTGCTTACTTTGAGCAAGCTGTGATGGAAGACGTTGTTGGCCATGAGCTTCTCAAACTGAGCAAGGCCAATGTCTTTTTGCCCAGCTATGTGCTGGAAAAGCCTACTGCCTTGCCTGCCAAGCTCTTGTGGATTGCCCAACAGATCTGGCCCTTGGGCATGCTTAGCCAAGACTTTGCAGCGAGCAAAGCTGCCAGGCTGAAGTTTGGAAGTTGTAGTGCTGGCGATGTTGTTTTGTACCAAAGCCACAGTTCCAAAGCAAAGTGGATGTGTGGGCAGTTGGAGTGCTTTGTAGCTTGTGGTGTGCAGGCATGTGCTGTCCTGCGACCCTTTGAATTTGAAAGCGCAGGGCCTTCTATGGCCCATGCTTTGTGGAAGCCAAATGGCTCTTCACTGCTAGCAGTGCCTTTGCAAGATGTTTTGGTGGCTGTCACCCATGCCCAAGGCAGAGATGGCATGACCACCCTGGTACCACTGCCTTACAGGTGAAAATGCACTGGAGCCCTTGTCAGCTGTTGGTTGCTTGATGCCATGGCATGGGCATGCACCAGCCAAGCCTGATGGCTACTTGGAGTGGCAGGTGCAGATTGATTTGCGCAAGATTTGCAAATTGAAGCCTTGAGGCTGCTGAACAAAGCCTTGGTGGCTGGCAACTATACAAGCCAGTGTTGGCTCTTATGCATGTCCTCTGGCCTGTTTTTCACATCAAAAAATCATGAAAACCTGTTTAAAAAACACTTGCAAATCGTACATTTTTTGGGGGTTATAACTAGTTATAACTTTTAGCATAACTAGTTATAACCCTTTATAATTTACAGCCTAAACATCATAATCAACTTAACCTGTTAGTAAGCCACCGGCCCATCTAAGCGCACGCGCACGCACGCGCACGCACGCACGCGCACGCACGCACGCACACGCACACGCACACGCATGCACACGCACGCACGCGCGCGCACGCACGCGCACGCACGCACGCACGCACGCACGCACGCACGCACGCACGCACGCACGCACGCACGCACGCACGCACGCACGCACGCACGCACGCACGCACGCACGCACGCACGCACGCACGCACGCAACGCACGCACGCACGCACGCACGCAACGCACGCACGCACGCACGCACGCACGCACACGCACGCACGCACGCACGCACGCACGCACGCACGCACGCACGCACGCACGCACGCACGCACGCACGCACGCACGCACGCACGCACGCACGCACGCACGCACGCACGCACGCACGCACGCAACGCACGCACGCACGCACCGCACGCACGCTCGCACGCACGCACGCACGCACGCACGCACGCAGCACGCACGCACGCACGCACGCACGCACGCACGCACGCACGCACGCACGCACGCACGCACGCACGCACGCACGCACGCACGCACGCACGCACGCACGCACGCACGCACGCACGCACGCACACGCACGCACGCACGCACGCACGCACGCACGCACGCACGCACGCACGCACGCACGCACGCACGCACGCACGCACGCACGCACGCACGCACACGCACACACACACACAGACACACACACACACACACACACACACACACACACACACACACACACACACACACACACACACACACACACACACACACACACACACGCAGATACGCAGATACGCAGACACACAGACACACAGACACGCAGACACGCGGACACGCAGACACGCAGAGAGACAGACACACACAGACAGACACGCACACACCCACCCACTGACAGACACACACAAACAAACTGACACACAGACACACACAAACTAACACACACACACACACCAACACGCACTCACGCAGCATACATGTCAGCCAGTCAGGGAACACACATAGGTTTTCCGAGCATAACCGAGAATTTATATTTGCCACCCGGCAACTATATGCCAATTCAGAGCCACAGGGAAGGGAGCCGATGCAACCGAAAAGTGGGTATCAGGGGCCATACTATTCCTCTGAATCCGTATTGGATTTCTGCGTTGCCAGACGGGCCGCTTACGTTTGTATCGTTTTTGCCTTTTGGGTTGTCCTGCATTTTCCCGTTCAACCAGTGAATTGTGAACTTTTTGCTGGGGGGTTAAGTCTGGCAGGGTCTATGGGTTTCTCTTTGACAACCACTGAGCAAGCGCAGTTTAGTCGTACGGGTTGCATGGACCATCAGCATTAGCCTTAGCAGGAAGAGACCAAAGTTTCAATTAGGTGACCCAGGAAATGTGGTACCGAATGACCCCGTAATTTGTTCTTTCCCCTAGGGAAATCAGAAGGATAGCAGGTCTTCTTTCTGGAGCCCTACCACCAAGTAGAGTAACCGAACAACTAGTTACTCACAAGCACCGGCATAAGTGCGGCCCTGCTGCTCCTCCAATTCCGAACTTTTCAACTGTTTATTTGGAACCCTGACTCAACACTATTTTCGAGCGACCAAACAATTTGAGCTGTTGCCGGATGTAATCGTTTCGGGGGTCCAACTTGCTTTCCTCCAACAGGGAATGTCGAATGATTTTACCCTGGCATCTCGACAGGAGGAAGAAGACAGCATGCTGGCGAGCCCCGCTCACAGAGAGTGAGTAAGAGAGTGAAGAAGTGAGAGTGTCCCTGTCCCAGTTAGAGTTAGAGTCTTGCTTACACCAAACACAACACATTTACTTGAACAGTTTACTTGTGATGTCAAAAGGTAATCTTTCGTGAGGGCAACTTTTGCACTAGACGCAGTTTGCTCGGAAGTCGGAAGCGCTCGCTTGCCGAAAAAAACGCAACATGAGCTTCCTTGAAGGTTTCGCGGAAGTGGCCATTGGTTCAGTCAAGTTTGGAGGGAGTGCTCAAGCCTCCAAGAAATCGAAATCGGTAAGGCCACGCGTGGGGTCTTTGAGGAGGTCTGTAAGAGGAACTTGACCTGCTTTTGTCCGCTCAAAAACAGGTTCTTTCTTGATTTTCTCTGGGTGAATGGAGGATCAGCCCCAGGCCAGGCTGTGCCCCCAGACAGAATTTCTGTTCCTTTAGGAGATTCTGCATTGTTTGGGGATACACGTGGGAGTGTGGGGGACTGCACAGTGTTCAAGCTTTGTGTTAACAGGTTTTTTCATCATTTGAAGCAAGACCCCCAGAGTTGACCTCGGCACTCAGTGCATGCTATGTTCAAGGACGTTACAACCCGCCCCCCCCCCCCCCCAGAACACCCCGAGCCGTCAAGGATGTCTTTGGCATTCTTTGGCCCTGTGCCACCAGTTGACAGAGCCGGGTTGTAGAGTCGCATGTGTCAACACAGGCCAAGAACCCGATTGAGTGGTTCCCTTCGGTTGCCTTGCCATGCCCTTCAGGGTTCTCCCCTAAATTGATTCTATGACAGGCCGAATATGAACCAGAATCCGAACACATTTCGGATACACCCCGACCCTGGTTGGGGCAAGGGATCTACCCCACTCTCTTCAAGTGCTCTCCGCAATACCCCGGGGTCGCAGTTAATTCAGAAAACAAGCAGCTTGGATCACACCACCCTCCCATCCACCCCAAGGACCCCCAACGCTGAGGGTTTTGCTTGTTCAATGGTTGACTCAGTCCCCACGTTTTCGGACAAACTTGTTACAGCAACCATTCTAGTGCTTCCAATTACCGCAAATTGGTGTGTTTACCTCTATGGTGAATTCCCCTGGTTGCCACCTATGCTGGCCCTGGAAGCACTGCACTTTGTTTTTTTGCGGGAAAGTCCTATCTTGGCTGCTGTCGGGTTGAATGTTTAGCCTCCTACTTTTGGGGAACATGTGTTTTCTCACCAACCAAAAAGTGAAACTTTCTGTGCCGGGGGCAATAGCCACACAGGCACGCAAAAAGAAGACAAGGGACAGAACCCGGTAAGTCGGGAAATCTTTTGTGGTAACCAAGCCAGTTCAGATGTAGATAGGGAATCGCGTCAAGGTTGGTGCATACGAATCCCCAGCTTGATGTCCACACAAAAGATTCGAAACCCACCGAAGCCTTCCATTTGCTAAAGACTATTTCTCATGTTCCCTTCTTGGTTTCACAGGGAATCTACTAGTACCGGACATATTATCATGTTTTCCAGGGGGCAAAAACGCAAATGGAAGAAATCCTCTAAACTGCGCATCCATCCGAAGTCAGCGGCTCGGGGCAACGAGCTTGCTCGTCTTCCCAGGTCGGCGGCGACCTCGGGCGCAGAATGGCGAGGAACGCGGCGGGCGCAGTTTGAACATGAAGTCCGGCAAGGGCTCAGACCCAGCAGTGACAGACCAGAGGGATTCCTTGCTGCTCAGCAGGGAACGAGACTTGGAATGACCCTCTTTGAACCATCTCTTGTGCTTTCCTTTAAGGGGACCCCTGGGTTCATTCCCACATTCCCTACTGAGCACCAGCAAGTTTCCTCTTCAACATGTTAAGCTTGCTACCTTTTTTTTCCTCCTAGAATTAACTTTTTGTTGCCTCCTCGATTTAGCTATCAGGCTTCCCCTTTAAACAAACGTATACCCTTTTAGCATTTGGCCTAGTTTCCGCTGGGATGTACAACAAGTGGAAACTTGCAGGGGGTCCAATCGTTCGCCCATCCAGCGGGAGTTGTCTTGTTCAACCTGTTGGGATGGGGTTCTCTTCAAGATCCAAAACTGCATCTGCAGGGTTACAAATGGATACTGAACAGAAACCGACCTGTGGGATCCCCAACTTCGAGCAACACCCGATATGGTGGGAGGTTGCCAGGGCCGGTAACATGTGCTGGTGAGGACTCCGACAGCGAGTCGGAGGACGAGGAGGAAGAGGAGACTTTGAGACCTGATCATTTCAGATGTCCAACCTTCGTATCTGAGGGTAGACGAGATATGGAGCAGAGTCAACAAATGTAACATTATCGGCGCAGCTTGATTTTTTTCCGTGGGCAAGAGTTGAGGTATGTGGCTTTCCACATCTCCAAAGCTTTCACTTGCTGAGTTCAACTGGACTTTTATCTCTTTGAAATTAAAAGCCATGTCAGTGGTATCCTGAATTCTTATGAGGGACATCAACCAGTGACCGCCCAACCGATGCACCCTGGCAGGGTCGGTGGGTCCCGGTTGGTTAGGAGAAGCTGGGCCGCTGTGCAGTGCTGATCAGGCGAGTCGGGGAGGAGGTTCCTTTCTCGCCAAGCCGAGACCACGGGTTGAATCTGGGCGGACCTGACAAACAACCACGTCCTTGGAGAAACTGAGGGTTCCGTTCCATGTCTGATTTCAGGTCTATGAAATAGGATCAAGGGCCCAGATGAAATTGTTTTTAGAGGGAGTTCCCTGATTGTGGCTGGGTGAAGTGAAGTGGAAATCACACAAAGCTAAACGGCTGTGTCATACACTCCCCCGGCCTCCAACCCTGTGGCCCCCCCTCACCCCGGAAAAAAGAACAAAATTCCCTAGTTTCCTCCGAAGTGAACCCAGTTGTTTGGGGATAAGAAAGAAAAGCTTAACGGCTTCGCTGAACATGCGGTGCTTCCAGCCCACAAAAAATGCTTCCGTTGGTCCTTCTTGATTTATCGTACATCGTTACCTTTCCGTCTTCACTTGTTTGCCCTTTTACCAATTGGCGTTTTCTTCGTTTTGCTTGAGATCCTGAACCTGAGTCACAATTCGTCACTTTTTGGGTCTGGGCCTTTTTAGTAGACACATTTCTGGCGGGGGCGAAATGAGTAGGGCGAGGGGTTCACAAACGGGGCCAACCCAGAGAGCTGAGAGGCATTGTCCCGCTATGAAAATAGGAATTGGTCCCCAAAATAGTTGGCTTCCGGATTCCTTTTGGCTGCCCACCAACCAGGAGGCTCCCGCCCCAACAGAAACAGGCGCCCAAACTCAATTGCCCATGCGTGTGGGTTTCTTTGCTCGCGGATCGAGCCGGCATCACGGCATCAGGCAGCTGTCGTTGGCGATGGTAGAGATCACTTTGTCCATCTTGCTCTTTAGCTGGGAGCCCCAGGTTTCCTCAAAAAGCAATGGTCATGCAGTCTATGCCTGCTCCAGGGACAAGAAGGGGGACTCTAGCTTTTTCACCAGGAGGGTCACTCATTTGTCCATGTCCACAAGAGTGGGAACTTGGGAACAAGTCATTTGCGCCATGGCTTGCAGTTGGGTGAAAGTTCATGGTACAATTCTCCATTGGGCTTTAGTCATCCCTTTGGCTTGCCTACAGGGAATTGCGCCATCGTTCACCCTCGTGTATCCCACTTTCTCCATGAGTTCCTGGATGTGTTCTTCTTGTTGGGAAGGCTATTACAGTAGACATATCATGCGCATGGAGCCCCAATTGTGGCCAACCCAAGCTGTATGACTCACCACTGGGCTTCTGAGTCAATGACTTCCATTTCTAGAGTGGATTTCACCCTGAGAATTCCTGGGTCAGCTCCCCAACCCGGACCTCCAGTGATGCCTGGCTGTGGTAATTGCTTTTCCGCTTCTTGCCCCCAAAAGTGAAGGTTTGCTTTGTCTACCGGAGATCTACAACCTGAGTTTGCTGGGTAGAGTGCCTCCTTTTGGGTCGTGTTGAAACAATGTTGAATTCACATGATGTTGGGAACCCGAGAAACAACGCATTGACGCTTTATCCCACATTGTGTTGGGTACTGATGTCTACCCATTCGGTTGGGAACACGTGCAAACTCGTGTCTACCCGTTGAAGGGAATGAGCGCCTTTCCCGTGGGAAGGCCGAGGGGTCCATTGGGGTCCAGTTTTTGGGAACCCACGCCTACTCGGATGTTCAACTCACTTATATTGCAAGTTTGTAGGCTAAGGTATAACCATGGTTACGTGACTATGCCCAGCTACCCAAGTGATAGCCATGGGTATGACCTAGTTACGAAGCTGGTTGAACATGCAAGTGTGGTTTGTTTCAGATGGGCTCGAGATTGGTGATAATTCCCGAAATCCAATGTTTGAGGGAATCCAAATCCCTTCTGTTTGGCCACCCGCCCGAAACGAGGCCCCGAGCTGATTATCGGGGTGGTGCGCTTGGTGCGGGGCTCTTGGGCACAGGCCGGGAGAGAACTCGCAACGTGGGTGTGTCTTTTTTAGGGGACCCCCCAAAAAATGGTGGTGTTCTTTTTGGGTTCCCGTTAAAACCACCAAAAAAGGGGTACCCCTAAAAAAGACACCCTTTTCAGTCTTGCAAGCCCAGAGCTCCTGAGCTTTCCTCAGTTCGCCCTTTTTTTGAAGCAACGGTCAACATGGGCCACACTCATGATCACCAAACCGGAAAATGTGTGTTTTCAACAAAAACCAAGGTCAGCTGGGGGCACAATGAATATTGCTCGGGGCTCACATACTTTCGCATTGACCTCTCTTCAAGGGTCCTGATTTCGGAGACATAAACCGGGTGCTTCGCATGACTAAAGGAAACGCAGATGTTATGCACATCACATTTGTTGTTCCATTTGGCTATGGGTGCACCTACGCCCTGCTCATCTATATATGGGTGCCCCTACGTATCTAGAACACGACTACGCTTTGGATGCACCTTCTCTAAGCCCAAGCTTCGACGGTGGATCCACAGATTCGGCGCGTCCGGCACACTTTTCAGCAAGGGCTTATCCATACTCTGGGGGTCAAAGGGGCTCCAAAGGATCTTGGGGCCGGGAAGAAAAATCGAGTGGTAGTTGTATACGCGACTGTGCCCGTATCTGGTGGTCCTATTCTGTTGCTCTTGCAGCATGCATGCACCATAGCCCGGCCAACCGCAGCTTTAGACAAGCCTTACGGGCCTAGAGGCCAAGTCAGTTTGCCTGAATCCCAGGTTCCCTCAATTTAATTTAACGATTCCCTTCTCCTACCCACATGGGGGGAATTGTGCCATCCACTTTCACCCGTGTGTAGTAAAGCAAACCAATGTTTACCCTTCCTCCCACGAACAGAACATTTATGGACGATACCTGGAAGATCCTGGAAGATCAATTGCCACTTCAACGGACGCTCGTGAGGTGCCAAGTCGCGGAGGGAGGGCAACTCAAGTGTTGTCCAACCTAATCCTCCGTACAACTTTTACATTATTAAGCCCCATAGATGTTCTGATCATGGGTGTCCTTTTTGGTTGATGTGGTTGAAAAATAGGGGGCCTGGTTTGCCTGGTGGTTCAATCAACTACCACGGCCATCCATTTTCCAAAAAAGGACACTTATGGTTGTGATTTGAACCCCGGACTGTTTGCAGAGTTTGACCAGCCCAGTCACAGCCTGACGCTTCCACTCCAACCCGACTCGAGACTCGGTCAGGTGACAGGCACGCAGAACTGGCAGCCGCAGGACTGAACCCGCTCCACGTCCCCCAAAGACCACCACAAACCACCCAGAAGCCGCCAAAAATCCAAAGGACCCGAGCGCTGGGGTGGTGAAGAAGACCGTGAAAAAGCCAGATCAGTTCCCAAAACTCCCATTGGGCACATGGGGTTTGTGGTGAGGCCTGTTGAACCCTGAATGAAACCTGTGCTGGTAGAACGAATCAGTTGGGGTTAAATGGACCGAGCCAAAAACGGTGTCCAAAGAAGGCAACCCCAGGCATGGAAATCTGGCAACTTACTTTGGCCAATGCCATTGCGGCCAAATAAGGCCTCGCCATCTCTAGGGTCGCTTGAGAGGTTCTTCGTGTTTGGCGTAGCATGGGCTGAAATGAATGTGGCGTGCCTGTTGTACATCAGCTTTGGTAGACATTTCAGCTTCATATGGGCGCGGCTTTTTTGATGCTCAGTAGCTCGTTTGGAGTTGTTTGAAAGGGAAGTCAACAGATGGCTGGCTTTGGTTTGGTGTCTCCTCCTGGGCCTGCCCAGGAGACCAATTGTTCAAAGGCCCTGGGCGATCTTGTGACCTGAGGCATGAAGACCAGGGTAGTGGGCAGTCCCAACCACAAATGGAGATCCACCCGTTTGATTCACATGGTCTTGGGTAGACCACTTTAGTACCAGGTTTTGATTGCACATCTTCTCAAATTGACCTTGAACTTCGGTGAATGTGTTTCAGCTTAGCTGTCACTGGACAGCTTGGGGCAGTTTTACAGTCTGCCGTTTCAGGAACCGTACAGACTCCCCAAGGACCCGCGATTTGGGGCTTGAGACTTGTGAAAGGAGAGCAAGGCCGGCCAAAGGCCTTGGTGAGAGTTGGCTTGGGGGAGGTAGGTTCGCTGCTGGCCTCGGGGCCCCGATTCCCAACGTCGCTGGTTGCGAAGGATGCCGTGGAGAAAGAGGTGGAGCAGAATCTGAGCGTGATGTATGTCTTCAAGGCACCGGCGTGGCAATTTCGCGCAGATGTTGTGGCCCTTTTTACAGCCTTATTGTTGGCCTCATTTGGAGGAAACTGGTGGGGTGGGGGGGCGAGTGTCAGAATCCTATGGTACCAGAGGAGGGTTGTTGGGGTCTTCCATGTTTTTCTTCTTTATGTTAGGGTAGACCAATAGTAGACCAACTAGAATGGAACATCGGAAAATGTTGGTGCCTCTCAGAGTTGGCCAAGCTCAGTGGCAATTCCCTCTTTTGGCCGAACACCCAAGCTATAATCTCAAGGAATGGTGACCTTGTGATAGGTTACCTAAATTCGATAATCGGCAAAACAGTCATCTGACTATCACAATATGGGTATCTCTCAAACTTGGAATCCCCATCCAGGTGGCAGCTTCTTTGTGGTTTTCTTCTAACCGCATCCAAACAGGCGCACTCAAGTAGCTTCGTTTAGGAATGACTGGTATGAGATCTTCGCACTGGTATGACGTGGGGGCAAAGACGGGATGTTGGTGCTAATGTAGCGAGTCACCAAAACTGGTTCTGCTTGCTTCAAGCGGCTTCCCAAATGCCCCGCCCAACATAGTTGCAGGCCTTTTGCGAGGCGAAAGCACTGGGGCATGACTGCAACGTAGCTTCTATCCCGCTTATAAGTTCCCCCCCATTTGAACCCTGTTAGTCCGTTCTATCCAGGTGCCTAGCCACTCGCTAACCTGGCCGAATACCGCTTGCAACCTGTGTATCTTGTTTGAGTCACCCGTAGGCCGATCCAAGGTGAATCGAAAACCACCACTTGTCTGGGTGATTTCGAGGGCGCCACTTTCATGGACCGAGAGCCAGCGCACCAGAAGCGGATTCTTTGACCATGCGCTTGTCGGGGATGGCTGGTCTTTGGTGTGACCTTAGCCCATTAGACCTTTTGGAACAAATGGCTTTCCGCTAAACCTACACAAGCTCGGACCTTTTCCTCGGGCGGGAAGAGCAACCCATTTTTTTTCGGATTGGAATTATCTCAGGACCCTGCCAATACGGGCCCGGCAAGCGGGAGATCGATTTGACGCCCGCGCCCGTCAGGAGGTTTGTGCTTATGGCATTTTATGGTGGCGTTTTGTAGCGCAGGGCTAGTTCTGGTGAAATTGGCCACGAACGATCGGTTTGATCCTCAGTCACGCACTTGACCTCACACGCCCCATTGCGACGGCAAGTGGTAACTTACTTGCGATGTGGACAGATTACGGGGCAGTCTGAGGATGGAGTTTCGGTCAGTACTGTTCGCGCTCATAGGGTCCTCAACCCCAATACCAAACCCTCAATTGCTAAGTCCCCCAAATCCACATCGCCGAATTTTACTCACCGCTTTGCCCATTTGCTGTTTTGGGTTTCCTCCGTTTCCCTTTTGACTACTAAACAGTTGTCACTTGGCAAATGGCAGACCCCAGTCGCATTAAGTCCCAGTCCTCAATGTCCCCTGATCAATGACCCCCACTTATAGTCTCGTTTTAGTGCGGATTCTCTTCCGCTTTTGCTTCTTCTTGTTTTGGGAGGGGCTTCTCACTCAGGGGTGGACATTCACACTTCATTTTCCCATTGTCCCTTTTGACCAAAAAGTAGACTTTCCGCTGGGTCCCGGTCGTATTTCGTCAGTCCACACATCGTGTTTTGTGTTCTTTTCGCGCGCCAGAAGACCTGGTTTGTCTTCGCCTGCGGCGTGGCATATCTCATTTATGCTGGAGGCCCAGCGTCCGGCTCGGGAGCAGCTACAAAGGTCCAGCCCTGGTACCGACGGATTGAGACCCCGATTGTGACTGTCGGTTTCTGAATCAGGAGGTTAACAGTATTGGCAGACAACCATTAGGGATTGCTAGGGGAACCATGTCCCGATGTTAGAGGCGCGGTTTCCCTTTTGCCCCAAACCACGGATTCGAGTCACCAAATCGCCCATCTAGGGCAATAATTGAGCGCGGACTGATTCTCCGTAACTCCCAACTTCAGGATCCCCTTCCCATCGACTAAACTTCTTCGCTTGTTTCCCTTCGTGGGGTGCATTGTTCCCTTTGACCAGCAAGATAGTTTGTTTCAGGGGTCTAAGTCTGGCCAAGTCATTTCGTCACAAGGTCTGAACAGCAAAGGATCTTCCGTAGTCCTCTGAGGGAAGATGAGAGTTTGTTTAAGGTCTTTGATTTTCGGGGATGTGTTCATGTTTGTGTGCGAGCTCATAAAAAGGTTGTTGGTTGCAACGCGCCGTTGATGCAGATTGCTTCCGGAGAGGCGCCGTCTTTTTTTTCTTCTTCCGGTTGGTGAATGCAAGTTCACCCAGATACATCTCCCATGGAACCTGACCAGAGGTGGCTGGCTTAGAGCAAAACACCAACATGAGCAAATGAGCAGGGAAAACTGGAGGCTTAGCACCGGCCCAGTTAGATGTGCATTTATATATGTCCCCAAGATTTATGTATATATGTATATGGGGGGTATCTACCTCTTACAACAAAGACGCTGAGCGTCTTGCATACATTACTTGGAGAGCCTTCTTTGATATGAGTGGTATCTTCCAGCATGGAACCTACTGGGAGGATGACTTTCCACAGATATAGACTCCCTGGGTTCTAGTCTAGGTTCAACATCAAGACTTCCTGGCTGATTGTCACTAGGGTTTTTCCAGATATTGGGAATGAAGCGGGCAGGGAGCACCAAAAGGAAGCAAGACAGATGGTTCAGCTTGGGGTCATTCCCGATTTGTTTTTTTTCCGCTGAGCACCAGCAAGAAGAAGGGCAGTGAAAGCTATTCCCTAAAAGTCAGAAAATGCTTAAAAAGGAAAGGGCCGCCACACTCTGTCGCCTTTTTCCTTCAACGGAAGTGTAAACTCTCCTCTGGGGACACAGCCGCCGCGCCATGCCGAGAGATCATTTTCGGACTGAGGCCATCGTCTATGACATGTCAGACACTCTGGTGCGACCGGGCTTAGGGAAGCGGTCGTTTTTGGAGGGTACCATCTCTCTGGCCTTTTTGATTTTTGATTCCCCTGAAAGAAAAAGGCAACAAAAAGGCCCAGTTGGTGTCCGCAACAGCTCTGGAACCCCCTGCACCCTAGAGAATATTGGGGCTGAGACCCCATAGCTTTCGGCGGTTGGGGAAGCACAAAAAACACGCGAAATGGCGCTTGAAAAATGGGCTGAAATGGGGCACCCAGTGCCCTCGGTTAAGATCTGCAAGCCAAGACTATTGTCTATTGGCTTGGCGATCTATGAAGCAGAATCCGAACATATCAATCTTTGGTGAATCCTAGATGTGGGCCAAGACTTCTAAAAAATGCTGGAAAGGGCAGCCACAGGAAGCTCTTGCTTTGTGGCATTTTGGCCAAGGTTTCCCGCTTGGAGACTTACACTCTGCAAAACGGCCGCCGGGAATAAATCCCACTTCGTGAGTAAGTGTTCCCAATCGCCGATGCAAACGACTCACACATACCTTTAGCAATCTTCGCCACAGATCGCCAGTTGCTCAGTTACATCAAGTGTCGCTTGTGTAACATCACAAAGTGCGGCTCCATTTCGGCTGGCAAAATCCGACGCTCAATTGGACCCTGCCACCAACTCAGCAACCCTCTGCATGTGTCTGCCCCAAGCTTGGTCTTACTGGCAAGTGGCTTGACATGCCTGGCAGCAGGGTGGTGCAGCTGTAAATAAACGCGCAGAGATGTGGGACAAATCCAACTAGATGAAGAAAGGCGATCAAGCGTGAGGAACCTCTTAGAGATTGAAGAAGTAGGAGGTGAAAGAGGAGCTCCAAAGAAAGGAGCCTGCCAGCGGGCAGGCAAGAGGAGCAAGGGGATGATGGCGAAAGCAAAAGTAAGCGGCCAAGAGGGGCTTTGCCCCGATTTGTTAGTGTGTGTCTCCCGCCCGGTGTGCCTTTGTGACAAAGTTCCGCGCCTGAACAGACTCCACCCTTTGGCTTTTGAAGGACCACCAAAGGCCCACTCTTGCGGTTGCGGCTTTTCTTTGACACGTTTGGCCTTTTGTGGCCTTCAGGTGGCCTCTATTTGGCCTACCCTCTCTTTTTTTTGCGCCCTGGATCCTTTGCACTAGAGCATAAGCCCCTAGATCAACAAGCGGGGTGCTGCAAGCGGAGTTTCCTGATCATGGCCAGGTGTTTCTGCTCATCGTGTCTTGGATCGCGTATCCCTTGACCACGTACGCGCGGAGCTCGGTGCATTAGGTCAAACCAGACGGCTTTCAGGGAATCCAAGAGGAGGTTGTTTAAACAACAATGCAAGATGGGCAAACAAAGGCCCTCAACCCTACCCTTAAACTTCGAGCCGGACCGAAGTAAGGGTTCTGTTGCAGTTCAGATCAAACCTATCAGTGGGATTTTTGCTGTTCCTTCTCGCTTTCCCATGGTTGCTTTGTACCTTCTGGAAGCATCGCTTTATGTCTGACATCGAACATCTCAGAAAGTGAGTTTTAGGCAATGTGCCCAAACGAACTTGTCTGGTCGGCGAGTTCTTGGTCGGAACCCTTGATCTGCTTTCAGTTACATGACATCTCAGAAGTAAAGACACCCAAGGCCGTGCTTGGCCCTCTCTTGTCTGGCTCCAGTGAATGGGGGGTTTGCGGCCAAAATAAGGCCAAATAAGACCTCAACGGTTCATTGTTTTTTTGGGGCTATTGGGGTCCCGGAAGCTTAGCTGGTTCAATGGATGGTTTCTGAGTGACGTGGCTCGATCAGCGATTCCTCCGATGAAAGTCTATGCTTGGGCCAACTCCTTTACCAACCGCTTTCGGACCACTGATGGGTTGTCAGAAAGATGGCCCCTTTTCGGACCTTGGAGCCCGCTTGTGCCGCTTGTTTAACGGGCATACTAAAGACAACCCCTGTTTGTTGTTCACAAAGCTTCTGTTTATGATGAGTAACAAACAGAGCACGTAGTGCTACTTGTGCCAATTGGTTGGGTATGCCAACAGATCCCGAGCTACTCGCTGCCTTACAAGTTTCAACCCAATGAGCCTGCCTCCGACGGTCTCCCTTCGCCCAGTGGATGTGCATGAAGTTTCAGCCCAGCTGCAAGAAGCCCGGGGACCTACGCTTGCCCATGGCTGTGGCTCACCATGGCGCTGGTTCTTGAATCGGATCCCTTTCCTCAGGCTGTGGAAACCAGCCAACTCAAAACTGGATTCCCGTTCATGGGATGCAAAACACCTATTGGGTTTTTCAAGTGAAAATACCGGCTTGCTCAGATCAAAGCAAAGACCAAAGACCACGTTTGGGTAGAAGATTGGCGGTGGATCCTTTTTTTTCCCGTTCCAGGGACCAAGTGTGTACTCTTGTGACAGGGAGCTCAACGATTTCAATGTTCCTCGTCTCGAGAAAACAGTTCGGATGCTTTGTTTTGTGGATTTCACATGTTCTTCTCCCTGTTGATCTCTTTGTAGTGCTTATGTGAGTTTTTTTTACAGGGTGGAATGCATAAAAGCCGCGTCCACGCCAAATTGTCCTTTACCGCTGAGGGTGTACCCCTGATGGCTCGAAACTCCAGTTGGACAAAATGTGTTTCAAATAACCAGACTCTGCTGCCCCAAGGGAAACCCAAGGGAGGTTTAAAGAATGGTGGCTGCAACTTGTTTAAACAAGTTGCTCAACCCTACTCCAGTCTATGCGGCACATAACGAGCTTCAAGCTGAAATTTACCAAGGATTTTGTATCGATGGTAACTCAACGTGAAACAACCCTAAGAAGAAAACCTACCCATCCTACCCTTCAATCCACGCATCCATGGACGATGTGGACAATTCGGAGTCTGATGTTATGCAGTCCTCAGTCGCGGAAAACAACCTTCGCCTCACTGTGCTTGGCGTGATTGTTGTTTTCAAGTTGTTTATGTTTTTTTGTTTGTTTTAGCGTGTGGCTGCAAAGTGGTTGAAGTTTTTTGCGAATGAACATACACTTAAAGGATTGGAACATGTGCCTTTCGCTCGAGCTGGTATAACCCTAACTGGAGGAGACGGGCTTGCTCAACTTTGGTCTTGGCTCGCTCGTTGAGCACAAGCCGCCAGGAGGTTTGGGGGGGTTCGAGTCCCTTTTCTTTTGCGACTGGTTTCTACATGTTTCAACCCAACCAATCAAACATGATTTGCAGGTGGACGTTTGCTCTAGAGGTCCAGGTTGGGATCGGACCCCTTTCGAGGTCGGTGATTCTCGGAGACATGAGAGGTACTGTGGATGGACGAAAGCCTGCACCACCTAAGAACCCGGGAATGATGATTCTCCTGTAAATACCAACAAACAATGGTTTCCCATGGTTCTTAAATGGTGCAGGATTTCGTCCATCCACAGTATGGATTGTGTTTAAACCTGAAAGGGTCGAGAGATTTTGGATCCCGAAGTGGCTAAGGACAAAAAGGCCTGCTCAATGACTTCCTTCTGGTTCCCCTTGAAGCCTTCAGAGGGTGAAAAGAGGGCCCTATGGTCATTTCCAACATGATTTGGTTTCACAGCAACCCACAACCCCCATTTATAGCGAATTGTGCAGGCCCTAGTGCAGCAATTCCAGCAAAGACAGACACATATTTGTGTTAGAACTTCGGGTTGGAGAGTCATAAATTTGCTGCAAACCTCTCCCAAAATAAACTGTCTTCAGGGTAATATATTGCGGGTCCTGGACCTAAAGGGGGGTGTGAGATCTACGCAGTTCTTGGCGCGCCATTTTCGGTCTGCTATTTCTTGTCCGTTTCCGTGGGCGGCTGTGCAAAAAGGCTCCGACGCAGGTTGGGAAGTCGCGATGTCTGTGATAGGTTCTTCGGTTCTCTTTTGGTTTTGCTTGGTGGTTACATTTCATAATCACCCGTGTTGTTTGTTCCATCGAAAGTGATGCAAGTCTTGTTCAGTTTAGAGATATGCTGGTTTTGGCAGGCTTTTGCAGAACACACCTGGAGTCTCCAAGACTCTTAAACACCAGTAATTTCGGGTAGTCATATGAGCCCCAATGTTAAAGAGTCACGGCTCCTTTTTGTTTTAATCATGTTCAGGTCCTTCTTGTGGAAGTGGGTCATGGATGTGAAGCGGAACCACGGCTGAGCCGCGCCAGCCGGGCACTTCGCCGTAACGGGCGTTGCCGTGCCGAGAAGCTGACACAGACAAAATTTCAGCATCGCGACCTCACGAAGCAAAAAAGCGGTTTTTGCGGGCGAAATGGCCATGGTAAGGCTCTTGATTTGCGTTTTTCGCACTTGGCGCAGAATGATTCAGCGACCAGTTGGGTCGAGCTGGTTTTTGAGAGACAGACCCCTGCGATGAGATTTAGAGATTTGCGCGCCTCTCACTGCAGGGATTGATTTTCCAATGCCGTTAGGCAAAATGACTTGAGCGGAGCCGGACAGACCTGACTCACTTTTTGAGGGAGAGAAGAAATCATTTCTGGCAGGTTTGAAGAGAACTCCCAAAGGTAGATAGTTTTGAGAACCCAAAAGAAAGTCTTCACGCTGCCCCAAGCTGTTTTGTGTCACACATGTGTGGAAAGGTGTTTCTGAGCCGATTCAGGCTGGTTCGGTTTCCGCATTGCTTCTCATTTCAGATGTGTCACGCGCAACCGAAGAGAGAGCACCCAGACGTCCAATGGGCACATCACAATCAGCTTCCCTCTTTGGCGTCAGGATTTCCCGCAATGGCCATGGTAAGTTGTTAGCCTATGTTACCGTCTTAGTTCTCTGGAAGCAGAGTTGTGCAAAATAAAGAACTTTCATCTTTTGAACTGTTGGTTGTCTTTCCTTCGTGGCTGCAACAAATGCAGAATCATTTCAAGCCCCGCGATTTGAGCCATTGTCCTATTGCGCTTCCTTGGTGGTTTGGATTGATGGTTTGGATGTTTGGGCCAGTTCCATTCCCTCAACAAGAACCAGAGGGTCAACCCCAAACCACCAAACCACTTGGGTGTGAAACCAAATTGAGACAAGAGCAGAAGATAATTGCGTGTAAGATTCGAGGTGCAATCAAAACCGACTCAAGTAGAAGGGTGGTAAGGGACAGTCCCAGCCAAAACTAGGTGTGGACATTTGCCCTTGACTTCTGGACATTGGTTTGGTAGACCTGGTGTTCATGGCAACTCACTCGGGGGGTGACCGAAAACAAATGATGTAAGGTCCTTCACCTGGATAGTTGTCCTCTGCAATCGACATGCGCGTCCCCAACCTGAATTGTACACAAAGCAGGGGGATGGTGTGTATAGATATAAATATGTATGTATATAGGCTGTTGTATTGTATTGTGTCTTAGAGTCTGATCGTTTATACAATATTGTCTTGCATAGAGGGGATATTAGGATTTTGGGCATGAGCAGGGTCACTTACTAGACATGACGGCCAGACAAGGCCAACAGTCTTCATTTTTTGGCTTCAGAATGTAAAAGTGGCGCTTCGACCCTCCGAGTTGGTTTCCTTTGGAAGACAACAAGACCTCTATGCGTCATGCCAACGAGAAGGGTGTCCCTTGTCCGTTCAGAGGAAACCCTCAAGAAAGGTGTCCTTGAAATTTACACAAAACAAGGGCGGCTTCGAAAACACATCCTCACAACAGTGTTTTGAGTTGCTAGACAAACACATCGAACAAAAAGGGCTTTCTTTTGTGATAACTCTAGACAACTTGGTTTTGTCAACGGAACATCTAACGGTATGCGTTTGCCAAAGGATTTTCTTTTGCTTCCCTTCAGATCCACCAACTAACCCTTCCGCCTGCGTGCCCCAGATTTTCCTCCGTGCCACTGGGCGATGAGTGCACGCGCGTTCACTCGCTAATGATCGATTATGTCACCTCAAGGAAACTATCTAACGTGCGATTGGGTCAGAAGAAAAAAAAACGATCGAACGTGCGATTGGGTCAGAACAAACGATGGAACGTGCGATTTGGTCAGCATGCTTCTATTGCCGCTATTCCTTTTGTGTAGCCAACTTTTTGCCCTTTCACCCTTTTCTGGTGTCTCCTCCAAGCTATTTTATGTTTTACTATAGACATGTGAAACAGAATCTGAGAATATGGTCTGTGTAGACCTCTTTTTCTAGGCCAAGTTTGAAGTGTTCTTTCTTTTCCTTGACCAAACGGTTCACTTGTTGCAGGTCTGGCCATGCCTTGGGGTAGGGTAGCCATGAACAATTTTCGGGGGGTACTTCGTAACCCTTGTGCAAGAGTTCTCTGGTTTGCCCGACAAAAAACATGTTTGACTGAGAATCACGTGATCAGTTTTAGGTCGAGCGCGGGAAAGGCGACCTTTGTGAGGTCTCTCTTGGTGTAACCTGACCCCGTCCCAACCCACGGGGTTGGTCAGCCGAGCACCTTAGCAGTGGGTGTGAATTTGTATGGCTCCCGGACCCTTTGGTGGACACAATTTAGGCAGGGAGTCATGTCCACCAATGACTTCTGAGGTGATTCCCCATTTCAACTTCATATCCCAATCACCAAATGTAAGGATTTGAGCGTTGCGAGAATCTTGAAAGGTTCCCTGAGTGGTTTGGACAGCTACATGCTGAATGTAAGCCGTGAGTCCCTTGTATCTGAGATCTTCTGAGGGTCTCGAAGTCTGTAGGACCGCCATTGTTTCGCCATGGTTTCGGCGCCAGACACGCGGTGCGTTTCCGTTGTGTCCGTTTTAAAGTCGCCGCAAAAAGGATGGCCGTGTTTTTTGCCACGTGGAAATATGCACTGGTCTGGGGGGGGGCAAATGGTGGGTTGCAGCTTGGCGCAACTAGTCGAAAGGCAGTGAGTGGCCTAGAAACCTCCAAACCTTGGTCTTCCGAACACCTTCTCAATGTGCCGGTTTCTCAATATGGAGAATCAGCCAAGGGCCTGCTTGTTCGGGGAAGATTGAGGAAAGTTAAAATGTTGTCATAGGATTGGGAGCCGGCTCTTGGCTCCAGGCTACTGGATAGAATGGCTTTTGCAAATCCAATTCCGGGGTATTAAATGAGTACTGAACAAGCACTTGCAGGAAAACAAATATAGTTGAGGCCAACAAAAACGAAACAGCATGTCCGAAGCTTTTGCCCTTGGGGGTGGTCTGGGTGGTTCCTTGAAAGTTGGACAGCGCTCGCTCCTTTGCTCAAGGATCCAATTTTGCGCGCCTTTGTGCGGCACGCACGGGTTTTGAGCTGTGCTTGCGCGGGTCAAGCACGATCTTTTGCAAAGAGCAGAGGCCAGTGTACCGGTAGAAATCTCAGTCTGGCTTACATCCTTGAGCAAATTAAAGTGACCCCGACATCAGCGCAAGAGAACGCATTCGGGGCTGAATGCCTTGCAGACCCGACCGGCAGCCAGCTTCAACTCTTGACAGCAAGGCCTGTTCATGGTTGATCTTTGCTCCCACCTGTAGCCGTACTCATTCAGTTTGCCGAAATCTGCTTTGGAAACGTGTAGTTTCTCCCCACTTGCCAGCAAACAAGCGGCCGGTCTCACTTTCCGCAGGTTACAAGTGTTGAAACCGGCTCCGCACTGTTCGAGCCTGATGTGTTTCAGTACTCTAGGAAGTTTGTGACAGTGGATTTCACCACCTTTTTATTTGACTGGGCTCGTGTTCAGTTGATTCCACCAACTGTTTGTTTGACTGAGCTCATGTTTAGTTTAGAAAGCTTAAACTCTACGGCCAGTTTCCTTTCTCTACCTTCACTGGTTACACCTTGGGAATGCCAGCGAGGTTGCTGGCTTCCTAGTCGGCCCCATGGCGTCACTCCGCTGCGCGGGTCTTGCAAGGCGTCAAGCGGGCGAGAGGAGACTCAAAACGGGCGAAAGGTAGGAGGGAGCCCCATGGGTGGTTTTCCCTTTTTCAGTAGAACCACGTCTAAAAAGGGTTCTCAACAAAAAAGACACCCCCAAACACACAAAGATCCCCGCCCTTGAACCTGGAATTGAGAAAAACAGGATTTCGACCCCTGGAATTTCGATAATTCCTTCCACTTTCTTTGTGGGGAAGACTGGAAAAGACCCCGCTTCGCTTCCGCTTGACAGGGGGAGAATGTTGCACCTGTATAATCTGAGTTATGTCAAGTTTCCCCGGCTGAAAAGCTTCGCTTCCTTGAGGCCACGGCGATCTGGTAGGAGCCACCCTGGACTGAGAGGTTTCACCCCAGAAACGAAGGCCTGGAGAACCAGATGTGGGCTGGAAAGACTAGGAGATGTCACTTTATCCGTTTTTGGCTGGGATTGTGTCTTCGCTTTTGTCTACACTGGTTTTGATTGTGGCTCATTTACAACTCACCGCCATCTCAGTCTTTTCCGGGACCCTTTTCAGGCTGGCTGAAAGGGAAACCACAGGGGAACAAGCATGTTGTTGAAGCTGCCTGTTTCGGTTTGCGTGCTTTGTTTGGGGGAGGGTACGTGTTTGGTCACAACTAATGATTGCACATGCTTCTTGTTCAGAGCATTGGCTTCTTAGCTTTGAGTCTGCCTGTCCGTAAAGCCTCAATGTCATGACCCCCATTTTTGTTGGGGGTAGAACCCATTTTTGACGGGTCATGGAGAGAGGGCAGGGTCCGCCCCCCCCACTCCCCCCACCCCCCCCCCTTTGCCAGCGGCCGAAAGCCGCAGGCGCCTTCCGCTGCCGCAGCTTCGGCTCGCCGCCTCGGTGCCGGAGCCTTCGGAGCTGGAGCAGAGGCGCGAAGATGCGGCGAACGCAGGGTGGGGTCGCTCGGGGTTTATCCAACCACTTCTGCGATGCTGTTGGGAATATCTCCCCCTTTTACATGGGGTTAGTCTTGGGGAGTCCTTTTTTCTGTCGACAGAAGCGGTTTCATTTCCCCACAGTCCTGAGCGAAAGGGAAATGAGGTAACGTGGAGGCGGGAGGCCTCGAATTTCTTCCTGGGATAGGCAGGGAAGGAGAATTGGAATGGGCCCTACAAAAAACCATCCCCTATGGTTTCCTTTAAGGGAATCCCGAGGTTCATTCCCAAGAAACGGAAGGTTATTCCCTCAGCACCAACAAGTACTTCGGGTTGACTGAATGTGAGGGAGAACCTGAAGATCAGTTGTTTTCTGTGCCTCAGAGTTGGGCCGGGGAGTCAGGCCCCTGATGTGTGCCTTGTTGGGATTTGGACTCCCAATTCGGACTTCATCCCCGTCACAGGGCACCAAGTAGGTAGACCCCCAACCCCGCCCTCCAACCCCCGCCATAAAGCAGGCCGATTTACTTGTTGACCATCAACCACTTGAGTTGACTTTCGGTGCTTCCGCGAGCCACTCAAGGGAAAATGTCGCCGCGGTCAAAACGAGCTTGCCATGAAGGTCCTTTCGTTGCAGATCCCTTCTGTCAGGTGTTTGACTTTTGTACAAATTGTAGATTCAATGAACCACACTACGATCTCCCCGGAGGTTGAGGCCGAATAAGCCTTGGGCCAAACACGTTGCCAACTTAGGCTGGGTTGCTC